CGGAAATATTTACGCGCGATAATAATAATATATTTTCGGAATAATAATAATAACGTGCGGAATGCAGGCGTAAGACGGTGCATAATAGTCGGTTGTAATAATACGTTAGCGCGTAACGTCTAAATGTGCTGCAAAGGTGTGCGGCGTGTTACCGTACCGCGTGATGTGTCGAGTTCCCTCGGGGAACGTGCGCGCGATAAAAGGTCTCCGCGTTTACGGGAACGCCGCGAGGACGCCGGAGGATTTCGAACGACGCCGGACGGGATCCCCGTTCACAATAGTCGGCCGGCCGGCCGCTCGCCCGCCGCCGCCGCGTCTAAGAAAACGTGCGGTTTCCCGTCTTTTCGGCCCGTTTACAATAATAATAATAATAATAATAATAATAATAATAATATTTCTCTAGTTGTCGCGCGCCCGCGTTAATGCGACGCGTTCGAGTCAACTCACGCGCGTCCGCGTACGCGCGCATTGTCTGCCGTTCGATTGTAGTACGCCGCATCGTTACAACATATGGGCGACATATTATAATGTGTGTGTGTGTGTGTGTGTATGTGTGTGTGTGTATGTGTGTGTGTGTGTGTACCATATACCAGGTGATCCGTTTAATTGGGTACACCCGTTATCTCGGAAAGTATTCAATTTTTTTCGGAATTTGTTTTCTAGAACGTTTAAGAAACAACCGAAGTATCAAATCAAGGCTGTTGACGGTGGTTTTACCCTCGAAAAAAAGGGTGATAAAAAATAAACGGCAATATAAAATTGCAGACCCGCTTGTTTCTTAGAATATGTTCTAGAAAACAAATTCCGGAAAAAGCTAATATTTTCTGAGACAACAAGTGTACCCATTTAAATATGGATCACCTGATACGGGGTAATTCAAAATTCACGTTAGAGCCGTTTTACCAAATATTAAAACGAATATTCGAGTGAATATTTAAAACAGAGGAAAACGTTTGATACGAAAGTATTTCAATTTATCGAAACATCCAAAATAATTTGTACATTTTTCTTTTACTATTGATATTTTTTGGGAAAGGATTTCGGGGGTCAAATTTCGAAATTCAAACGAGAACCTAGCTATTTTTAAAGTTCCATTAACAGATGGAGTGTCAATTCAAAAAAAATTTGATGTTGACATTTTTGATTCCTTTTCAAAATGGTACTTACAGTCAAAATAAAAGCATACATCACACATCGGGCTACGCTCCGAATGTAAGATTGAAAATAATAAAAACATTATTTTAGTAAATTTTCCCGTTCTTTTAACAATGTATCCTTTTAGATACTGAGTGGAGTTCACTCATGGTTTTACAAATATGTTTTTTTTTTATTTGTTAACAACTTTTCTACCAGTAGACTTGCTCGGTTTTTTAAGTGTAGCACCTTTTCTAATGGGAAATCGGTATGAAGTGGTACTTTAAAGAGGTCATTTTTCGATTTTCTCCAGAGTTTTCCCATGGGAAAACCGGGAAAAACGTAGGAAAATTGGAAAAATCGGAAAATATTAAACAAATATTTTTAAAGAAAACATACAAACGCAATGCAAATTAACTTTAAAATAATTGTTAAATTCTGTATTTTAAGTACTTTTATACTTACTTTATTCCAAAAAAACTCATTTGAATATCACTTATTTCATAATAGTCAAATCTTAATATGTGAATAGTCGTATTTCAATATAATATGAGTGTTCAAATATATGTCATGTGTGTTCTAATCGTACAATTAAATTGTTTGGATCCACACAATAAAATAATTACTAATTCATTAAATGTAATAATTAAATAATTAATTGACTAAATTATCGCAATAACAGTCTGATAAGAAGTGTGACGTAAGAATTAAAGGCGAAACCGTCGGTTTAAATACCGTAGATTTCGCCGCCGTCTTTGCCGGAATCTTATTTTCATTATTTTTTGACGAAGAATATCGTTCTTCTGAGCCACCGTCGTCATTAAAGCTGGGTTAGGGGCGGCTATCCCCCCCCCCCCCCGTAAAAGACTTTATCTAGTCCGTAGCTGTGCGTGTCCGCTGTCAATCGATATTGTTCTGGGCATAATGGGCATGTTTATCTACTACCTAATCGACTTTGGCCACAACGCACAGTTAATTTCACTGAACAATAACATTTTAGTTTTATATTCGCCAGTGGCCTGGCGCATCAATTTCCAAACACGTACCAACGGATTCTTTTGACCACTTTTAAAATGTCTCAAGTTCTACTAAATCAAAATTGTAACAATAATAAAAATCCGAATTCTCAAAAAAAAGATATAATTACAACTATAATTCTAGAAAAAAAATTAAATAATTATAATGAAAAATGAAATTTTAAATAAATTAAATAAATATATAAATAAAAGTATAAATGCGTCGCATGGAGTATTATGAAACTTGTATTATACGACTGATTTGAATGAAAAATTCATCATCCGGTATATCAGTCAAAAGGTAAAACGCGACTCGCATTCATTCTTTTTTATTTTTATGTATACACATTTTTATTTATACATTTATATACGAGTAAAAAAAACCGGTCTATGTAAATACAACTTTCAAATTGAAATAATAAATTCAAGTATAAAATAAGACATATCGTTAAAAATGAATGATTTGTTTTTAGATTAAATTTTGATGAAAATCATAAAAAAATACCGCATTAGATACCACTGAACTTCACATTAATTTGACCTTCAGATTGGAATAATTTTTATAAACCTTGCATAGGTATCATAATAGTGTGTGTCAATATCAATTATTACATCCTAAAATTGAATGTTTATTAAATATTCAAGTTAATTTGGTAAATTTTGTTTGCTAAATTTACATAAAACTTCGGTTACGTTAATTTAATATAAATATTATACAATTAAAGAGAAGGAGAGGCGCATTATCAATTTACGGTCTTCATATACATAGTTATTAATTGTTCTTTAGAACGGCGAGTATATATAATCAAATTATGTGTGTTAATTAAATTACATTATGTGTGTATAAAAATGAATTTAAAAAGTTATGATTAATAAAACGAATGTTACAATAGAAATGGTGAGTATTTATGAATAAGTTTACACAGTAATAATTTTCAGAAAAAATTTATCGTTCCGACAAACTCTAGTTTTGATGATATACCCTACGCACGAGTTAAGCATGATAAATTCATAGTCACAGACAAAATAGCGTACGTTGGCACCAGCAATTGGTCCGGGGATTATTTCGTCATCTCATTCGGTAAGATTAGATATTTAAACTTTGTTTTGATCTATTTAGAGTTTCTTCGTGAATATTGACTCTATTTAATTTTATACCTTTTTTCAAGGTATTGGTGCAGTTTTCGAACGTATCGAAACAGTCCAACTCATAAATAAGCTATAGAAAATATTATTATTGATTTTATTTATCAGATACTCTAGAGGTGAAACCTTTTGTTTAAATTCTTAAATGTTTTATTTTTACAGCATTTTTAGATTCTAAGAAATTTATTAGTTTTACAATGGTGTTTATTTTTTTTGTAAACCTGAACACTTTTTCAACTAGAAATCTTACTCCGATTGTCAAGTACAGCAACTTTTCTGAAATTAAATGTTTTCTGGATGGTACTTTAAAGAGGTCATTTAATAATATACTTATTTATATTTGAGATAATTAGAAAAACCTGATTCTTTAGGTTAAAATAGGTAGAAAGATTAAAAATACAATTGTCATTGGCATCTGGTTTTATTTATTTTTTGTTACTATTAAGTTAATATTATTTTAGAGATTTTTTTTAAACAATCATTGTTGTCGTGAAACGCACAGTGTTGTAATCATTTTACCATAATATGACATGTATAATGTTGACTAAACAACTGAATTCCCTGTGGAATAGTTCTTTTTTAAGCAATGGTTTATTGTTGCTATATACATTAAATTCCCGTTTGTATCCTACCTTCTTAACTTCCACCTATAACAGTAGCTCCATCCACGTGCGAGTATATCCGTCTTTTTTTATTTTATCCCTTCATTTTGTTAGTTTTAATGCATATTTCTATATTATACGATTATAAGAATTTAATTTAGTTAATTTAGAATACTATCTGAAGTATGGCCAAATTAAGAATCCAGAATCGGATTGACTTACTGTTCTACCGCACTGTGGGCCGGTGCCTTTGTATGGTCAACACGATGGCATATTTATAAAGTACATTTATTTTATTTTCATTGGAAAAAAAATGTTCAGCAGAATAAAATGTTTACCTCCCTCCAGGTCAACATAATTTTAAAACAATGTTTGTCGATAGACATAGACATGGAAGCTGGATATCAGGAGACAGCGTTAGCACCACCCGAAAAGACTTTAAAGTTACAAATATTACTTTCAGATGGAAATCTATTTTTTTTTAAAAAGGAGATGAATTTGTTTGTTTATTGGAATAATTTTATGAAATGAAACATTTCGAGTACGTAGTTTATTAGAGCTTCTAAAGGACCCGTACTCACGAAATTTTTTGTTATTTAAAATAGGTACTTTTTAGTAAAATCAATTGCAAGTTTTTACTAAATTGATTGGAAAAATTGTTGGAATTTTCGATCTGGTTATTTTCTAAAACAGTGTACTGAATACTTCCCAGTTTGCTCCTGAGTTTAGTATGACAACTCCAATCATATTTAGGTGTTAAACGCATTCATTATTATAACTTGAAAGAATTGATAGCGCATAAAAACACACCCTTTAGTACCGAGTAACAGAAATTCATGACTAGAGTCAAATTTACCCTTATCTATTTTGTGTAATGAACATAAACTTTGAAAAACATTAAATAACCGATTATACCTACTTAAGTACTGATATAGACTATAATTCGCCTATGGTGGACGCTAATTAAAATGCTATAAAACACAAAATTCTTATCTAGTTTGTGGTAGTGGGCTTCCGCTATCACTCAATATTGTACTGTGAACTGCACGCCACGTATTTATTAAATAATATTTATCTACTTCCCGATTGACTTTTTCCATAACACACAATTCATTTCGCTGAAAAATAACATTTTAATTTTATATTCTTCTGTGGCCAATTGCATTAATTTCTAAACACGTATGGATTCTTTGGTTACATTTTAAAAATGTGTCATGTTCTATTAAATCAAAATTATTACAATAATACAAATCCACGTTCTACAGAAAAGGTAAGAACAACTTTATTTCTAAAAAAAAAAAAAAATGAAATCTCTATACATAAAAATTAATCCTTATTTCTTTTGATCGTCGCATCACGTGAGAATGGTTTGACCGATTTTGTTGATTTTTTTTTTTAATGTATTCGTAATTATCCGGGCAAAGTTTTTATGAAAGAAAATTTCTAAAAAGTTAACCGAATAAGTTGAAAAATTACAAAAACCTATTAATGATGTCTTCGAGTTTTGAACTCAATACCGTTGCACTAACATTATAAACTTTTTTTTTAGTTGTCTTTATATACCTATTATATGGGCAGACCTATGGTCTAAATAACGTGCTTTATTGTCATTCCTTCATCTCTTTGTATATGGTGACTATAATAAATATTGTTAAACAGCTGCATCGGTCGGCATCTATCGAAAAAGTTAATTTTTGATTTTTTATTTTTGAATACACAATTTATTCAATCTAAACGCATACGCAGTTTTGAGTTTGTTGAGTGGAGTTTTTATGAAGTTAATTTACGCCTTATATTAAAAGTTTAATTTAATATCGATTTTTGGTAAAAATTCTAGAGAAGTTTAAAAGACTCCCAAATACTAATGGCTCTAAATTATTAAATTTAATTTCCAAACACTAAAAGATTAATTCATACAAAATAATTTCCTTGAAATGAAATTGTACGAATAATAAAAAAAAATTACTTTCTATTAATTTTTTTTGTGGTGTTAGAAAATTGTATTTATAAATGAAATCCAATAGAAGGGGGAACTATTAAACCCCTTTTATTATTTTTGTTTTTTTATACATACTTTAAGTGATTTTTTTCAAGGCTTTTTGACATTTTCAAGTGCTTTTAGTAGATATTAAATACAAATCCAGTCTCTAATTATGACAATCGAGTTAATTTTGTATTAATAAAAATTATTGGCAAATATGTACATAAAGGTATAAAAAAAACGGTATGCTATCTGCAAGTGGAGACTATAATACAGTGCATGGACTCTCCCACTTCCAAGCGTCCCTACTCCGAGGATGGTTAAGTTCCATTTTCTTTGGAATCCCCCAGAAATTTGGTGTTTAGAAGTTTTTGGTATGAAAATCATGAAAAAAAAACAAAACAGATCACTTTTAGTCCGCCGAAAGTGGACTACCCACTTTCACAAATTTGATTTCATTCAATATAGACACAGTCTATACCAACAAGTAATATGGGTAAAACAAATAATAAAAAAAAGGCACAAGTAATGACGCGCGGTATAGCTAGTTATTTTAATAGAATGGAGAATTATAAACTACATCACTCATTGGAAATAAAATAATTTAACCATAAAAACTATTTGTTTTTTATTTGTTACCTAAATTTTTTAGGCTGTATCGAGCAATAGTCCTAATGTAATATCGCGTTTAGTTTATAACAAATCGGTCTACTTTGGTCACCAAAAAAACTGTTTAATGTAAGTACAACTTTCAAATAAAAAAAATTAATTCTAATTATAAATAATACATAATATCGTTAAAAGTAAATGATTTTTTAAAAACTTTAACTTTCCATTGTAGCTCACATGGATTGATGATGCTAGTCGCATTGCTTTTTATATTCGGACAATCAGAGACGAAAAATCCACTTTCAGTTAGGTCAATTTCCGATTCAATTCGCGTAAACAGCTGTCAAATTTCTCTGTGCGAATCAATGCCTATTGGCATGACTTACGAGAATAATGCGATTGTTCTCAAAAGCACGTATCAAACTTGGATGGATCTTATACACTCAGCTAAAAGAACAATTGAAATAGCTTCGCTTTATTGGACATTAAATGACCAAGATTTTCCGGCTCACGATGGTGCACAGGAAGTTAGTCTTTATTTTCAAATCATTCTATTTTATTTTTAATAGAAACAAGTCATTTTATTTTTTTTTTTTTTATATTTTGTTTTATGCAGGGTAAAAATATTTTTAACGCTTTACTAGAAGCAGGGCGAGACCGAAACTTAACTCTCAAAATAGCACGAAATATACCGTTTAACCGTTATTCATTCCATGATATAAATATACTCCAGAAAGATGCCCATGCTCAGGTAATTTATATAAACATCTATCTTCGATTAATTTAATGCATACAAATTTATGGCCTTATATTCTAGGTAGTAACTCTCAATTTCACTAGTCTATGGGGCAATGGAGTATTACACACGAAATTTTGGTTGATTGATCGTACACATTTTTATGTTGGATCGGCTAATATGGACTGGAGATCGCTGACCCAAATCAAAGAGATCGGTGTTGTTGGAACGAAATGCTCAATTCTTGCCAACGATGTTGGAAAAATATTTGATGTAAGAATTATATACTTTGATAATTTGATATAGGCGAAATTAGGAGGGGGCTATGGGGGCTTTAGTACGCCCAAAGCTAAAAATAAGCACCCCCAAAAATTTATAAAATTAATAATACTTCTAACATTTTACTCAACAAAGTATGATATGGATATTTTTTTGTTATTTTACGTGATAATGGAATAAAAAAAAGATATGAATAAATGAGTTCAGAAATACTTGATTAACTTAACTGACCTACTAACCTAGCTTTAGTGGTAAGAACTGTACTAAATAGTAAATATACGAGTTGCATGGCGTTTTTGCTTAGTGTGATTATTAAACGGCCATTTTTACGATTTGTNTATTACATGTATCATGTAAACTTGAAGATTTAAAAAAGTTAGTAGTGCCGATAACCACAAGGGCCGGTGATGTGTCCATAATTATATTAATCTCAAATTTGGTAGTCTAGTTGTGCTATTTAATTAGAAAATATATTTTCCATAATTTATCAAGTTGATATAGATTAATAGTAGTTGGATGTTTAATAAAGGTTTACTGGCAAATCGGAAAACAAGGAAAAATTCCAGCGAATTGGCCTGATGTACTCAGAACTAAAATCAATATTTCTAATCCACTGCATTGGTCTGACTCAATTAACAACAAATACAGCACATTTATCTCAGTGAGTATTTTCCAGTTCGATGATCGATTTTATCTTTTTTAATTTTTGAATGAAATTTTAAATATGTTTATTTAGAGTTCACCGGCGCAATTGTCACCGAGTGGAAGAACAAGCGATCTAAGTGCTATTCTATATTGTATTAATGAAGCGAAGCAATTCATCTATATTTCAGTTATGTATTTTTGCCCGCTGAGAATTTATTCGATCGAAAAAAAGTTCTGGCCCGATATTGATAACGCGCTGAAATCAGCTGCAATTAATAAAAAAATAACAATTAGAATTTTAATATCCAAGTGGAAGAGTGTAGAACCTTTTGAAGATATTTTCCTTACGTCGCTCGCTTATTTGAATAACAGTTTCAAGAATGTTACAATAGAAGTGGTGAGTTTTTTTTGAGAAAATCAATATTTATGAGTAAGCGTACACAGTAATAATTTCCAGAAAAAATTTATCGTTCCGACAAACTCTAGTTTCGATAATTTACCCTACGCACGAGTTAAGCATGACAAATTCATGGTCACAGACAAAATAGCTTATGTTGGTACCAGCAATTGGTCCGAGGATTATTTTATCAAAACAGCTGGTAATACAAGATATTTAAAAAATTGTTTATATATATTTAAAATTTCTTCTGTTCTGTATTTAGTTTTATAAATATTTTTCTAGGTGTTGGTATAGTTTTTAAAGATGTTGATCATTGGAATAATAACACCATTCGAGATCAACTTGAAGAAGTTTTCCTTCGAGACTGGAATTCGAAATATGTTTTTCCGCTCAACGTATCGAACCAGCCCATTCCATAAATAAGCTTTAGAAAATATTATTATTGATTTCATTAATCAGATACTCTAGAGGTGAAACCTTTTTTTTAAATTTTTAGATGTTTTTTTTTTTTTTTAATAGTATTTTTAGATTCTAAAGAATATATTGGTTTTACAATAGTGTTTGTTTTTTTTGTAAACCTGAACACTTTTTCAACTAGAAATCTTACTCCGATTGTCAAGTACCGCACCTTTTCTGAAATTAAATGTTCTCTGGATGGTACTTTAAAGAGGTCATTTAATGATATTCTTATTTATATTTGAGATAATTAGATAAACCTGATTCTTTAGGTTAAAATAGGTAGAAAGATTATAAAATACAGTTGTCATTGGCAATCGTTTTTATTATTTTAATTTTCGTTTATAATCGTAGTTGTCATGGAAACGCATATTGTTGTAATCATTCTACCATAATAGGCCAAAGCAATACTATCAACTGATCATTACTCAGAATCGTTTTTTTGTAAGCAATCGTTTATTGTTATTTACAGATATATATAAAATTCTTGTCTGTATCCTACTTTCTCAACCCCCCACCAGTTGTGTACCACAATAATTTGGGCTCTCTTAAAAATTTATGAAAATCCTCAAATTATCGTGCCCCCTTTCATCGCCGGGTTTGCGGGCCCTCTTTCATGTCACTGCTCCCCACCCACAACAGTGGTTTCACCCATGTGCAAAGTATGTCCGTCTTTTTTTAGTTTTTTCCCTTCATTTTGTTAGTTTCAATGCATATTTGTATATTATACGATTATAAGAATTAAATTTAGTTAATTTAGAATACTATCTGATGTATGGCCAAATTATGTATTCAGAATCGGATTGACTTACTGTTCTACAGCACTGTGGGCCAGTGCTTTTGTATGGTCACCACGATGGCTTATTTATAAACTACGTTTATTTTATTTTCTTAAGTATTGGAAAAAAATGTTCAGCAGAACAAAATGTTTACCTTCCTTTAGGTCAACGTAATTTTAAAACAATGTTAGTCGATAGACATAGACATGGTAAATGGATATCAGGAGACACCGTTAGCACCATCCAAAATGTACTAAGAATAGTAATTTCAGATGGAAACCTTTTTTTTTTAAAAAAAAGGAGATGAATTTGTTTGATTAATATAATAATATCGTTATTATTTAAACATTTTGAAACTGTATTGTTTTTAAGTTTCTTGAGGTCCACGGCATTGTTTAGAATAGAGAATTTCACTAAAACGAGTATTAAATTGTTTACTTAATTGATTGGAAATATGTTGGACCTTTTGAGCCGATTATTTTCTAAAACAAAAAGGGGCTGAATATTCCTTAGTTCGCTCTTAAATATGGTATGCCTTTAACTCTAATGATATTTAACCGTTCAACGGAGTTATTATTGTTATCACTTTAAATAAATGAAAATGCTTAAAAACACCCTTATAAGTACTAGAGTCGAATTTCCCCCCCCCCCATTTTTTTTCGTTTAATAATAATACCCTTTGAAAAGCAATAAATAACCGAATGTGCCTATTATAAAATAATATAATATACTATACTATAATAATTACAATCATTACAATACTTCTAGAAAATTATGAAAATTGAGCATACAAATGGCGGGGGTCGGATTTGAAAGTTCAATCCCCTCAAAAGGCACATCCTTGATACTAACGGCATATTTATATACAAATATTTATCGCCCATGACTTTCACTGGGTACTAGATGTGATAGCGGCTCGAAAAAAAAACAACACCCTTTTTTCACAGCATAGTGAAATTTAATCCAACTTTTATCACTTTAATCCGCCTATAAAACACCTATAATTGCCGAATTTAAATTCATATGGTAAAAACTCGAAATAAAGTTTAAACGTAATCAATATACAAATACGAAATACCACAACCAGCAGTTAACCGGGTTCCACTCAGAATCGTTTTTGGTATATTCACAAGGTGTCTCCATATAACGCTGTTATTCTATGCCTCGCCATCTACAACGTTGCCACAACAGTGCAACGTATGTCCGGTTCTTTTCTTTCTTCCGCCAGAGCACGAACACCGCGTACCATTTTTTGGTACAATGCCCCGTGTTAATACGGACAGTACGGCTCGATGAGTATGTGAATTTGGCGGCAGTGGCGGGGGAGATAATAACGAAACGTCATTTCGAGTCATTTGTCCCGCGTTAAACGACGTCATAAAATCGCGGCGGTTCGTATTGTGCGGCCGCGCAAGTCTTTCACCGGACCGGCGGCCATGTAGCCCGTGTAGCAGCTGCCCCCAACCTCCACACGGTCAGAGTTATCTGACAGTATTTTCCGCCTCGTCGCACTCCAGACAAACAGTTTATGAAATATCATTTCATTTTTAATAAAACGCGTATATTATATAATATAATATATATAAATGTGTACAGTATGATAATAATATAATAATGCGTTGTATATATACGAATGTAAAAAGGAACAAACGAGCGTCCTAAACCGTACGTCCTTTACAAACAATAATTGCGAGCCCTGCAGCAGCCCGAGGAAACCACCTGAGTGTCCGCACACACTCGTGTACGATATTATATACCGTCTTACAACCGCCGCCAGAGTCCATTTTTGTCGGTTTTACTGTACAATATCTCCATCTCTACTCTGCGCGAAATGTGCGGAAATATCGACTTGTCTTCTATCCCTCTCTCTCTCCCCTCTATCTTTCCCTCTCTCTCTCTCTCTCTCTCTCTCTCTCTCTCATCTATCGCTTTCTGATATCACGGTAACATAATATGATTGACACGAGAACGAACGCGTTAGGATTTAATTGTATGGTGTGCGTAGTGCACAAAACCTGCACGGGTGAAATTCTTCACGGCGAGCGCGAAGCCAGCTCGTATAGTGTACTCGTACAGTCAACGGTACGGTGTGTGAAAAAAATATGTAGTTTTTTTACCGATTATTAATCGAAAACCATTAATTATAAATGGTTGGTTTTTGATAATATCATAGAAAAGGGTTTATCGGGGAAATTTAATGCACCTCGTTGAGTCTGTGTCTGCGTTTTCCTATTCGAAAACAGAAATTTCGAAAATGTTAAAGACCGGGTATTACCAATAATAACTATACCTATGTTGGCTATATTGCTGATAAAATCGTCGGGCGCTTAAACTTATATTAATTTTATATAATATCATCTGTAAACGTTGCATATTATGGACTGTACACAAATGTATGATGTAAGCAATACATGTTGTAAGGTTCGTCCTTCGGGTTAGGAAGTAATATAGAACTCAAAATTCGAAATTACGCGAACAAATTGTGTGAAATTGAATCCGATAATAATGCAGTACAATGCGAGTATACGACTGACGCGATTTTAAAAACTGCCAAATTGTCGGAATCATACGGAATTGTCAAACTTAATTTTACTCGTGTTTTGATTCAACATCGCTACCGTTGCTAAACTTCAGGATAAGTAAGTATATCATTACAAAATTTGCATTTCATGTTTGTTTCTTGTTATCATAGGAAGTAGTAAATAATCTAGACAGTCAACAGGGTTGTATACAAGGTGATCAGTTTATCGTAAGACACTCGTTATCTCGGAAAGTATTAACTTTTTCTGGAATTTGTTTTCTAGAATATTTAAGAAACAAGCTGTTCTACAATGTTATATTTATGTTATTTTTTTGTCACTCTTATTTTTAGGGATAAAACCACTACTTACTTTTGATTTTAAAATGACAACCTATATTACAAATTCCATAAATAGACGAAATATTAATTAAAATACATTTTAGTGTTTCTTACTCGGAACGTTCTACAGCACGTGTCGTCAAAAATATTACGCAAACGGTACCTAATATTTCCTGATTATTGACAATAACCTCGGGGGGTGGGGGGAGGTGTGCCAGTTTTTCGCCGGCTTAACCTACGCGATTTTCCGGCGCGCTCCCGTCGGCGCTTATCTCACCCGCAGACGTAGATTATACACCGCGACATCGAACATTCCAAAAACAATACACAATACTCTGATGGCGGCGGGCTATTATAGACAGCTACGACTATCATACAGCGATCGTTACGCCCGCGTTTCCGAGGGCTGTTTGTACAGTACAACAGTAGTAGTAGTCGCCATCGTCGTCGTCGTCGTTGTTGTTGTTGTTGTAAAGTAATTTTCTTCTTATTATTATTATTATTTTTTTTCAGCCGGCCCGCGAAATCTCGGCATTCGTCCTCACAAAAGGGTCGGATCTTAGCCGCCGCCGCCGCCGCCGACAGTGGCGTCGGTCACGGCGGCGGTGGCGGCGTTGGCGGTGGCGGTGGCGGTCTGTAATCAACGGGGCCGAAGAGCATGTGCAAAAACCGTGTCGGCGTATAATACGCGAGTCAAAGGAAGCCGCGCGGAGACCCCGGTGTAATGGTTTGCCCTCCCCTCCCACCACCGTACATGTATAGTTTTCACGTTGCGTATCGTTTTTCTGGACATTACGCCGAATCGTTCGGTTATTATATGCCGACGAGAAAGAAAAAGAAAAATATAATAATAAAATAAAAATCGTACAGCACGTGCCGACTATTAGCATTATAATAATATCGTATTCGCGATGCTGTTTGTTTAACGCGTCGAACGTGCACTACTATAATGACGAACGTGCCGGTTCGGATTTAAAAACCGTTTTAAAGCGGTTCGTTTGTCGGTAATAATTGTCGCTGTCATTCGATACAAATCGTATGTTTGTACGCTGTGGCGATTGCGTGCAGCGCGACGGGTATGGCCGCGAATCCGCTGCAGTTGAAATTGATTTCGGGTGCGAAAACCGTATTGAAAATGTATATTTTGCACAACCATAATAACAAGCGGTTTTAAAATATTGCACAACACGGAACGAATAAAAAAATTTTGTTTAAATTTTGAAAAAGTTCGAGTACAGGGGGCGCTTGATCGGGCTAAGCCCCTCGAATATCGTACATCAGCCCCGCGGAAAAGTTTGCGCGTTTAATAGTTATTTGTAGTAATTCTATTTCCGAGCGGACCGAATTCAATATCGGTTTTACGTTTCTAATGAAAATATTAGACTCCTCCCTCCCCCCTCTGAAATTTGAACCGATTTTCGTCTGTGACACCGGTAGGCGTATGGCTAACTTACTAAAT